ACGCCAGAACCCACAACAACACCCACACCTGCACCAACAACAATGCCAGAACCAACAACAACCACCACAATAGTTCCTACAACAACACCCACACCCGCACCAACGACAATGCCAGAACCCACAACAACCACCACAATAAATCCTCCAACACCTGCAGCCACAACACCAGAACCCACAACAACACCTGCACCCACGACAACACCTGAACCCACAACAACCCCTACAATAACTGAAACAACTCTTACAACAACACAAACAACCCTTACAGAAGCACCTATAATGACTCCTACAACTACCATGATAACATTGAAAGCACCAACTATTTTACCACTGAGCAAAATTCCTCTTCAGTTTTCTCTTCAAGGTATGTTTGGAAGGTTTGTACACTAAGCTTCAAAATTATATTGATATGTGTATTTAAATTAACACTATTCCTGCATTTTAGTTGACAGTCTAGCACCATCTTGTGTTGAGGGTCAATATCTGCCACTGTTCTTCTACCCAACACCTCAACATGGAGAACTCTTGCAGGCTCGTGTAAATCATCAGTTTGAGTTCAGAGTGAAGGCTGTTGCATCTTTTTCAAGGTACTTTGGGAAAAGGCGTATTTGGGCTTGTTTTAAAATGAAACTGAACTAAACTGCAACTTAACTTGGAATTGCATATTAGCACACTACCCTTTCCTGGTTCTTCCATGCATGCTACAATAACCATTTGTGCCAGAAATAAAAAAAGGGGGAAAAAAAGACTAATGTTATTTGTCTCTCGGTTTTATATCTTGTTGTTGTTTTCGTCATCCAGAATTATTGATGTCATCATTAGTGGACCATTAAACAGCACAAAGACCAAAACTACCACTGGGGAGTATGTGATTAACTGGACACCAACTCAAGAAAACTATGGTCAACACTTTCCATTTTGCTTCATTGCAGAAGGACAATACATGTATGCTTCAAAAAGTCAATGTCCTTTCAATTGTGTAACAACTTTAACCTCATGCTATGACTATTGACAACAATCTTTCTGTTGTAAGGTCTGATATTTACCAGTCTGAGATGAGGTGTGTTGTTGCAGAGGTCATTAGTGAAGGTATGTAAATCAGACTCAAATGTATAGTCTATTTCTATGAAAAGACACATTGTATACAAATACTCTACGTTCAAGTATTGATGACTCATCTTGCACCACACATTTATTCCTCCTTCCATAAAAGCAATCAGCTTTTTAAAAGATTGTGTTTGCATGCCATTCACCATTATATTTTTACAGAACCCGTGGCACATGTAACCTGCTCAGCAAACTCAATGTCAGTCACAATAGTGAGATCTTCCATCCAAAACCTCAGGGGTGACCAACTGAGACTGATAGATCCGTCTTGCCAGCTTTACTCCAACAGTACTGATGTGTACGCCAGCACACCTCTTGATGGATGTGGCACTACGTTAGAGGTGAAGCATTTACAAAACATTAACAACAACATCCAGATCCTGTAAATTCCAGAGCTTAACTATATCAAATCTTCTGTTTCTTTGTAGGTGACAGACAACGAACTCATCTTTAAGAATAAAGTCACCACATTTGCCGATCCCCAGGACATTAAAATCAGAAATAACAACATAGAAATTGAAATTATGTGCGTGTACCAGAAAAACGCAGACGTTTCACAGGAGTTTGATATTCACAAGTCTCCAATCAAAGTCTCAGAAAAGAGTTATGGCACAATGAACTATCACTTTGAGTTTTACCCATCTAACAGTTTCCAAAACATGACTGATCCAAGTGCCTTCCCTCTTGAGTATAATGTGGGAGATATGATCTACATGAAGATCGAGCCTGACTATCCAGTCCCAAACACTGAGCTGTTTCTTGAGTCCTGTATGGCTACGCCTTTTGATACTCCCAATTACCCGGTCTCCTATCCCATCATCACCAATGGGTGAGATTCTACAAACACATTCGAGCATTCACACATCTAACCATATAAATGGTACACAATATGACTCATCAGTTACCAGGCAAAATAATAATAATCAAGTGCTTCTTCCTATTTCAGATGCAAGATGGATGAAACGGTTCACTTTTTCTCAAGTCACACACCATACGTTGAGTTTGAAATAGCGGCTTTCAAATTCACTGGGTTTCAAGACCAGGTTAGAGTCCCATTTAGTCCAGACTATGTACAGTATATGAGTTAAATGACAATACTGCACAATAACTTTAACCTCTATAAACTACTGTAAAGTTATGTGGTGCAAAAACAGAAAGAAACTGTTTATTATTCTAGAGTCCTTGCTTTTCGAATGGTTCATTCAGTTGATGGTGATGCCCTCCACACAAACACATTCATTTCATTCACTCTAAGTTTAGGAAAACTTTTCTGGCTACCTTCAGTCTGAGTTGCCCACACGAGCACATTTAAACTATTTTGTCATGTTAATTGCTTATGTTTCTAGCTATACTACAATTGAATTGTCAGACTGTTTTTGTATGTTGAACCAACATGGTGGACAGTGAGAGGGGCACAGATTATTATTGGTCAGATCACCTGACAGTCAAACTGCAGGTGAATTAAATCAATTATGCATTACGGGATGTGAAAAAAAAGCAACAAATGAAACAATTCCACTTAAACACTTTGATATGGACTTAGGGCTTACTCACACTATGTACAGTTGCTTCGAACCGGGTCAAATCACGCTTGTCCCCCCTCCCGTCTCCCCAGACGGCCCGCACTCACATTACAATCGTGCCTAGGCACACTTACGTCATCGATGCTGCACTGTTCAATAAGCGCTCTTGCTCAGCACAGTGGAGATTTCCCTAGTTATATCGCTTTAGTCCTTCGGGATCGTGCCTGAGCCCGATTTAGCGCACTTACACTTCACAAACAATACAGGAAACGGGCCTGGGCAAGGTTCGGATAGCATAGTGTCAGTACGCCCTTACTAAGCCAGGGGTGCCCAAACTCTGCCTAGAGAGCCGGTGTCCTGGAGAGTTTAGCTCCAACCTTAGTCAAACACACCTGAACCAGCTAATCAAGCTCTTACTAGATATACTTGGCTTCGTTTGGAATCGCATAAGTCTATACTATATAGTAAGCTAAAAGCAGTATGCGAGTCGAGTACTGTGTCCGAATTCATACAGTAGCATTCAAAAACAGCATGTAAGAAGTACTCGGATGACCAACCACTTCCGACAAGATTCTGAAGTGCGCATTGGATATACATTACAACATCCCATAATCCTCAACGAGAGAATTCATGAATAAGAGTGAATTGACGCAACTAACGATGTCAACTAGGTCACGTGATGATGACCAAATGGTGTATGTAGTACATCCGAGTTCCTTTCATACTACTCACATTCATACTATATAGAACATACTTTTGTAACAGCCGAGTAGTACATTTAAATTCAAAGCAGTACCTACACTCTCAGAAATAAAGGTACAAGAGCTGTCACTGGGGGGGGGGGTACCTTTTTGAAAGGTACATATTTGTACCTTTATAATAAGGATCCTTATTAATACCTCAAGGGTACACATTAGTACCTAATAAGTACAAGAGTGTACCTCTTGAATTTTTTTTGGTACTAATATATACCTTTGGGGTACCAATATATACCCTTCAAGTACAAATATGTACCTTTTGAAAAAGGTACCACCCCAGTGACATACCTCTTGTACCTTTATTTCTGAGAGTGTACCATGTAGTAGGCAATTTTGGCCGCAGAAACTTCCTGGCAGGTGTATTGAAGCAAGTTGGAACTAAACTCAGCCAGACACAGGCCCTCCAGAACCGAGTTTGGACACCCTTTAACTAAAATCTTCAATACAAGCACATATTTATAAGTGAAATTAAACATTTCTGTTGAACTCTCACATTGTCGAACTTTCATATTGTCTCTTGGCTTTTTGTCTTCTTCCTCTCCCCCTGCTCATCTGTAGGTGTTCATCAGCTGCTCCATCGTCGTATGTGAGGTAGGCGTTCCCAACACTCGCTGCTCTCAAGGCTGCATCAACAGCACCGTTGCCCCACCTTCACACAACATTAACAAAAGAGACGCACCCCTCCAGACCAGCAATCACATCATCTCCCAGGGACCCATACGGCTGAGGAGGAGCCCATCACGTAAGACAGTATAACTTTATTCATATTTACTAACATGATTGTATCCTTAACTAGTGTGTTAACCACTGCAACCTTTTTATGCATTTCAGAGGTGACTGTGAATCTGGGATTGAATGTAAACCTTGCTGTCGTTGCTGGGTGTATGGTGGCCATTACTGCTATAATTTGCGCTGTGATCGTCTACACATCCAAGATGCCCAGGATCAGAAGCAAGTCCTTGCCATCACACGACTTTTGAATGCGTCAGCGTTTTTTCCAAAGCATGATGCAATATTTTACTGTGAAAACACTATCTCTAAGCTTCTTGGTGAAAATTAGTTTTGGTCAATCTTGCCTTTGTATTCATTTATATGTTTTCTGACCTTAAAATAGGCTTTGAGAAATCATGGGCTTTATATGCTAATGTGTGACAAACACACACAGGGTTTGTTGTAGTTTTCAGGAGCTCTGTGTAAATACCTACATACTACATACACATGAGAGAAAAGACGAACATTTATAGAAGTAAAAAAAACATACTGTAAAGTAAAATTCTGTATTATAGACGTGTAAAATTGTACAAAAAAAAAGTTGTATATGCTTAAAATAAAAAAATGTGTGTTGTATCTGCAGCACAAACACGATAAACAGTACTGTATTAGGATGAGCATAAAAGCAGGTATACATGTTTTAAAGAATTGTACTTACAAAGTATAAAAGAGTACCTCCTGAAATGTAAAAGTACTAATATTGACCCTTTACAGACGGTACAAATGTGTACTTTTTGAAAGTAAGCCATCAGTGACGCCTTTAAAACCTGTATTTCTAAGAATGTATGGCTCCACTGTATTTTGCATTGGCAAGACATATTTAACGCATTTAAACTATTTAAATGTAGGAAGACTTTAGGGTGAGTAAATGGTGACCTACTTTAATCTTAGACTTTCGTCATTTGATCAACAGTTCTGAAATCTGCTTTGTGGAATGTGAATTTTCTCCTTATTGGAATGTGTTTATCTCTACACTTTACAGCTTTTATTTTATATCTTTATATGCAGTTTAAAAGTGGCCAGTGTTTTAAATTGAGTTGTTATGTGGCATTTCTACATTTGATGGCATGTGGAAAGAAGTGGAAAGTCATTAAAGATGAGTTTAAAACATGAAACCAAGTCAAATGAATCACTTCTGTGTTTTTATGAAGTAATTTCAGGACCTCTCAATATCACATTTTCCATAAAAAAGAAACATGGGTCGATTTAACACATTGTGGGGTCAAAAATGGACAAATGCAACTTTTCAGTTCATGTCCAAAACTAAAATGAAACAGTTTCTTAATCATCTTATATATTTATTTACTTATTTTTGGAGTGTAGATCATTTTCAACACTCATTTTCATTCATTTTTGTTCGGCTTAGTCTCTTTATTCATCAGGGGTCGCCACAGCGGAATGAACCACCAACTTATCCAGCATACAGTATGTTTTACACAGCGGATGCCCTTCCAGCTGCAACCCAGTTCTGGGAAACACCCATATACTCATTCACACACACACACACACACACACACACACACACACACCGCTATATATATATAAAATAAACTATTATGTTAAACTATTAAACTATTAACCAAAATAAACTATTATGTTTGCAACACAGTCTGGTGTGATTTATTTTAAATCTTAAACTGAATAATGAAATGTTAAGCTGAATAAAATAAATAAACAAACAGCAAAAATTATTTTGCTGAAAACAATGGAGCATTTCTAATCACACAAAACAGTCAAGTATCCACACAAAAAGTACATTTGGTGTATTTTAGCCGGCATCTAAATTGTGTGTATAGTGGAAATGGTTTGTGTTAGTTAATGCATGCTTACTATTGTAGATTACTACCTATCTGTGACAGACCTAACTGTATACAAAATGAGTTGAGTTTACAGTGATACTTCTTAAAAAAAATACAGGCAAACCTTAACTTTAAACCAGGGGTGTCCACACTTTTTGGGCCGAGGGCCAGATGCAAAAAAAAAAACGTTGTCCTGGGCCAAATTTTACATACATCACAAAGACACAGACATATATATATACATATATATATATATATATATATATATATATATATATATATATATATATATATATATATATATATATATATGTGGATGGATGGATAGATGTGTGTGTATATTATTATGGAATTATTTTATTTCGTAATCCAACGATCAACGCAATCCAATTTCTAAAAAGACTTAAGTTTTTAAAGAACTTGAATCTTCTCTGGGCAAATTAACTTGAATCTTCTCTGGGCAAATTACAATTGCTACACTCATCCTTTATAAATTCTCCTTCAGTGAAGGGTTCCTGTGCTGTGCGATTCGCTGAACTACCTCATAACTAGCCACACAGCAAAAAATGCTGATTTTTTTTTTGTCTTGTTTCGAGTCCAAATATCTAAAAATTCTCAAATTAAGAAAACTTTTCTAGACAAGCAAAACATATATTCTTGTTTTGAGAAATAAATGCTAAGATTAAGTGAGTTTTTCCTTAAAACAAGCAAATGAATCTGCCAAAGGGGTAAGCAAAATAATCTTATGTCAAAAGGAAAAACAAGATTATTTTGCTTACCCCATTGGCAGATTCATTTGCTTGTTTTAAGGAAAAATTCACTTAATATTGGCATAGTATTATTAAGACTTGAAACAAGACAAAAAATATAAATAAAAAAGCATTTTTTTGCAGTGCAGTGTAGAATTTTTTTTGCACTTTATTAGCACGAAAAAACTGCTGTTGTTGAGCTGATAGGGTAGCTGCTAATTGTTTTACTTTTTGATCTTGTTTGGCACCAGTGTAAAAACTGAAGGCCTGATGCTTTGTTTCATAATGTCTTTTAATATTATATTCCTTCATTACTGCAAGTGATTCCTTGCAATTTAAACAGACACATATTCCACTGACCTCTGTGAAGAAATATTCTTTGCCCCAACGTGACTGAAACTTCCTGCACTCACTGTTGATTTTCCTTTTTCTTGGTGTGCCATGGCTCGCCAAAATGTGATTATCAATTTCCTTCAGTTTGGTCGATTAGTTTTACATCATAACAGGAACTGCTGCCTAATTGAAGGCATGTAATAGCGACACAAGGTGGTTATTTGTTGAATTACGTTCATTTTTGTATGGCGGGCCAGATTCTATTGATATTTATAAAAGCCTCGCGGGCCGCCACAAAACTGATTGCGGGATTGCAGATGGCCCGCGGGCCGTAGTTTGGACACCCCTGCTTTAAACATTACTCATGCATTTAAAATTTAGCAGCTAAAATTTAAACCATTTCCAAATCAGTTCACAATCAGTTCTCAGAATCAGAAAGAGCTTGACTTGCACAACAGACACACAAGGGGTTTGTTGTAGCTTTCAGGAGCTCTGTGTAATTACCTACATAGACATGAGAGAAAAGAAGAACATTTATAGAAGTAAAAGACATACATTACTGTAAAATCAAATTGTGTATTATACAAAGACCTGTATTTCTCAGAGTGTATAGTTCCAGGTATTTTGCACTAGCAAGACATAAAATTATTTCAACTATTTAAATGTAGGAAGACCTCAGGGTGAATAAATGGTGACCTACTTTTTATTTCTATTTGAGTAATTTTCATCTGAAATCTGCTTTGTGGAATGTAAATTTTCTCCTTATTGGAATGTGTTTATCTCTACACTTTTCAGCTTTTACTTTATATCTTTATTTGCAGTTTAAAAGTGGCCAGTATTTTAAATCGAGTTATGTGGCATTTCTACATTTGATGGCATGTGGAAAGAAATGGAAAGTCATTAAAGATGAGTTTAATACATGAAACCAAGTCAAATGCATCACTTCCGTGTTTCTCTAAAGTAATTTCAGGACTTCTCAATATCACATTGTTCCATAAAAATAAAAATGAGTTGATTTAACACATTGTGGGTTCAAAAACTGACAAATGCAACCTTTGGGTTAATATTCAAAACATAATTTAAACATTCTAACATTTTTGGCTCTATACACCAACATAATGGATTTGAAATTAAATGAAGATGTGCTTTAACTGCAGACTGTCAGCTTTAATTTGAGGTTATTTGCATCCAAATCAGGTGAACAGTGCAGGAATTACAACAGTTTGCATTTGTGCCTCCCACTTGTTAAGGGTCCAAAATTAATTGAACAATTGGCTTCTGAGTTGTTTTGTGTATACAAAATGAGTTGAGTTTACAGTGACACTTCTTTAAAAAAGACAGACAAACCTTGACTTTAAACATTACTCATGCATTTAAAATTTAGCAGCTAAAATTTAAACAATTACCAAATCAGTTCACAATCAGTTCTCAGAATCAGAATAAGCTTTATTTGCTAATGTGCGACAAACAGATGAGGGGTTTTTTGTAGCTTTTAGGAGCTCTGTGTAAATACCTACATAGACATGAGAGAAAAGAAGAACATTTAAGAAGTAAAAGACATACTGTGTAATTGTGTATTATAGACGTGTAAAATTGTACAAAAAGTTGTACTTGCTTAAAATAAAAATGTGTGTCGTATCTGGAGTAAGCACAAACAAAACCTGTATTTCTCAGAGTGTATAGTTCCAGGTAATACTGTATATTTTGCATTAGCAAGACATAAAATTATTTCAACTATTTCAATGTAGGAAGACCTCAGGGTGTGTAAATGGTGACCTACTTTTCATTTCTACCTGAGTAATTTTAAACTTCCGTCATTTGATCAACAGTTACCATCTGAAATCTTGGATGTCCTCAGTTAGGACGATTCAAAGGGTACACGCTGTTTTGAAGGCTCCAGAGATACTATTTGGGGCCCACCCTAACATTTTTAAAAAGTTCTATCAGTGAAGTTTTCACCACTTTGTAATGTTGCCATTCCTTTTCACACAACACTTAAAAGACGTTTAGGGACTGAGTCACCAAGTGATGAAGTGTTTCAGGTGTAATTCTGTCACATTTTTCCTGCAAACAAATCATAAGGTGAGCAACAGAATGAGGTCTTCGTTGTCGCATGTTGCACTTCAAAATGTACCACACATTCTCTATTGGAGACAGGTCGGGACTGCAGACAAGCCAGTCAATTTCCTGTATCATCTTCCTGCTTCGCCAGGACTAATGAGTAAAGAATGTGGTTTTGCTTTGTCTTTTTGAAATATGCATGGGTGGCCCTCTTTTCCTCTCGGCTGTATGCATTCCCGCAGCTGTACCTGTGCATTGTCGCGAAACACGACCAGATTTCATGCGGCGCGGAAATAAATTTCCTAATAAAGCACGGGAGCGGTCGGTAACTCTGGTGTAATTTTAACAGGAGTGGGCGGTCTCACAATATTGCTTTCAAGCGAGCAAGCAAGCAAGTGTGCGTGGCGTGTGTGTGTGTGCATGCGTGCGTGCATGTTTGGTGCTGTCTATGTTTATGTATGTGTGTGAATGAGAGACAGTGTGGTGCCGAGTACCGTGTGTGTGTGTGTGTGTTTATACAGACAGCTTGTTATAGCCACCCCACAAAATACAATACTGTGTATGGAAATTATCGTCAATGCACCGAGTTATCGAATTGAACCGAATCTATGGCATGATAATTGTAACCAAACTGAACCGTGAGACCAATGTAGATTCACACCTATAATATTTACAAATGAGATGAAGCTCAATTCCTTATATTTATATAGCGCTTTTCTGGGCACTCAAAGCACTTTACACATAGGGGGGAATCTCCTCATCCACCACCAGTGTGCAGCATCCACCTGGATGACGCAACGGCAACCATTTTGCACCAGACTGCACACCACACACCAGCTGATTGGTGGAGAGGAGACAGAGTGATGAAGCCGATTATGATATGGGGAGGGCTAGAAGGCCATGATGGACAGAGGCCATTGGGCAGAATTGGCCAGGATGCCGGGTTTAAACCCCTACTCTTTTCGAAGGACATCCTGGGATTTTTAACAACCACAGAGAATCGGGACCACGGTTTAACGTCTCATCAGAAAGATGGTGCTCACTGAGCAGTATAGAGCCCCCTATTATTATACTGGGGCATTAGGACCCACACAGACTGCAGGTTGAGTGCCCCATATAATATCACGTCACCATTCACGCACTCTGGGCATGCACGTTCTAGTATAAACAGAAAGC